CCCCCAAAACCCCAAAACCCCAAAACCCCAAAACCAATTAAAAATTAAATTTTAGTCAAAAATGATTTTCTCAGAAATGCACCCAATTCTTGGAGCCATAGTTACAGGTGCCTTTGTGTATTTTATTGGTATTCTAATAGCCCTTTACCGTTATCTCCTCGGAGGTAAATGCCTAAAGTACGAAGGAAAAGCACGTTTTCATCACTGGAGGGAGTACAGGGCTCGGACTCTCTCTTGCTACTATGCTCTATGCCAAAGGTGCTAAGGTTACCATTGTCGCTAGAACTGAGGCTAAGCTTAAAAAAGCTGCCGAAACTATCTCTAAAGAAGGAAAAGGTCAAGTTCAATACTTCTGATTTGACTTATCAAATCCTGACGTAAACAAAGTAGAAGAGCTCTTTACCCAAGCTGAAGATAAATTTGGAAATGTAGAGTACTTGTTCTGCAACGCAGGGTCATCACTTCCAACAATGTTTTTAGAAGCTGATTTGGACTACTATGAAAGCCAGATGAAGACTAATTATTTGAACTATGTCAAAACTTCACAAACTATGGCTAAGAGAATGGCACAAAGAAGGTCAGGCACTATTGTATATGTATCTTCTATCCTTGGAGCTTTGACTTGTGTAGGATACTCAGCTTATTCCCCATCAAAGCATGCTATTAAGGCTCTTGCTGATGTGGTGAGAATCGAGCTGGCTCCTTATAATGTCAATGTTCATCTCTTCTTACCTGGCTCAATTCTTACTCCCGGATATTATGAAGAAAATAAGATGAAGCCTGAAGTTTCAAAAAGAGTTGAAGGAACTGCTGACTTTTTGGAACCAGACAAATGAGCTCATATTTTACTCAATGGAATGGAAAGAGGAAATTACTTGATAACCACTGAGATGCTATTTGAATTGACTAATCCCGCTTCTATTGGGTCATGAGACCGTTCTAATGTCCTTCTGAACCTAGCCCTTGCTCCACTTAGTGTGTTGACAAATTATTTTATTAACTATGTAAATCATTCAGAGATGGCTAAAGAGAAGCTTAAAAAGGAATAGAAATAATTTTTCAATAACTAAAAGAAATGAAGGGGTTTTGGGGTTTTGGGGTTTTGGGGTTTTGGGG